TTAAAACTTTAATTCTTAAGTCTTTTTCATTTTGAATTTGTTTTGCAAATTTTCTAAAGACCTTAAAAGCTTCACTTTTCGTAGTTAGGAAAAATGTCCATGTATATCTAGAATAATCATCAACAATCACAAGACCATAATAACTTCCACCAAAGCTTTTTATCCTAGAAGGTCCAAATAAATCTAAATGTAATAATTCTAGGGGTTTTGAAGTGGAAATAACATTCTTTGATTTAAATGATGATTTTACTTGTTTACCCTTTTGGCATGCATCACACAATCTATCTTTTTCAAATTTTAACCTAGGCAAACCAATAACTAAGTCTTTTGAAATCAATTTATTCAAATGATGCATATTTATATGAGCAGCTCTCTTATGCCATAACCAAGGGTTCTCTTCCTTAGCAACTAAACATGTTATGCTAGACTCATGTAAACAATCCAAATCAATCAAATATATGTTGTTATGCCTAATGCCTTTTAATTCTACATTTTCGGAATCTATCAAATGTATGGTGCAAAATTTACTTTCAAAAATTACCTTAAATCCTTTGTCACATAGTTGACTTATACTAAGGAGATTATGCTTTAGTCCATCAACAAGTAGCACATCCTTGATCTCCAAAGTGTTTGCACCACCTATGTTTCCAATTCCAAGGATCTTCCCTTTGTTGTTGTCCCCATAAGTTACATATCCTTGTTCCTTAGCTTTGAAACTCACAAATTTAGATTTATCTCCGGTCATATGTTTTGAGCATCCGCTATCAAGATACCACATAGACTTCTTTGATTTGGAAGTTTCCTACAAAACAAGAATATAGTAAACTTAGGTCTCCACAACTTTTGGGTCCTTGGGGTTAGAGACATAACAAATTATTTAACTATTGGAACCCAAATGTATTTACCTTTAGGTACACCAAAATGTTTAATTTTACGTCTATTTGACGTGTGACCTTGTTTCATGCAATAAAAACATGCTTTAGATGTAGCATTTGAAAATGATGCATTTCTAATCATAGATGCTCTAGTTCCTTTTTCTATCCATACTCTTTTATTTTTTCTTTTAGACTTTTTCAAAAGAACTTGTTGACTTACACTATTTTAAGCAAACATCATTTCATGCTTCTTAAGATCATCTATTTCTTTTTCGGCTTTGTCTAGCAAATGGTTAAGAATATCTATGTCATATTCATGCTCTTTACAATTTGCACATGCTAGGTTCTTATCATTTTCCTCATCTAAACATACAATTTTCATATTTAAGGACTCCTTTTCTTCTAAACATGTGATTTTCATTTTTAAGGAGTCTATTTCCTTTTTGGATCTACTTTAGTTCTTCTTTACAACTTTATATTCATTTTTCAAATTCTTAAAAGCACTAAACAATTCATTATAAGCATTTTACAATTCATCATAGTTATTATCCTCATCACTAGAAGATGTGTCGGAATCACTTACCTCAAAATCGGAAGAAATGTTGTCATTTTTCATTAAGCAAATATTTGCTTCTACTTCCGAGTCACTTGATTCCGAACTTGAATCGCTGTTATCCCAAGCAATATAGGCTTTCTTCTTGAAGACCTTTTTGCCTTTGAATTCATCATTCTTCTTATTTGGATATTCGGTCTTTACATGTCCTGCTTCACCACAACCATAGCATTTTATATTTACAGAAGAATTTTCCCTTACCTTTCCTTTACCTTTGAAGGGATGTCTTCCTTTGGCTTTCATGAATTTGGTAAAATTCTTTATCATAAGACTCAACTCTTCTTCTTCATCGTTTGAGTCTTCTTCTTCCCTTTTATTTTTACCTTTGGAGATTTCGGTTTTAAAGGCTAGATTCTTCTTTTGATATTGCCCTTCTTCATCATTTAGCCAACCAAGCTCAAGCTCATGCTCTCTTAGCTTTCCGAATAGCGCCGCCATTGACATTGTGGCAAGGTTTTGTGACTCCGAGATGGGCGTCACCTTAGGTTGTCATTTCCTATCCAAAGATATTTAATTCATCAACGTCAAATATTTTACCTAATCCGGTGAGATGATTCACAATATCAGTGAAACGCTTTTAAACGTCGAAAATCGTATTCTTGGATTAGAGAATTTTTCCTTGCTCTTTTGACGTCGTCAGTACCTTCGTGGGTCACTCTAAGCATTTCCCACATTTCTTGGGCACTTTTACAAACAGAAATCCTGTAAAACTCGTCAAGCGTTAAACCAGATGAAATTATATTTCTAGCCCTAACATCATATTGGGCTTTTCTGTTTTCTTCTGCAGTCCATCTAGAAAAAGGTTTAAGAACGTCAACACCGTTCTCTGTAACTTTAGAAACAAATGGACCGTTTAAAATAGCGTCCCAAACGCCTCTATCAACAGACTCTAAAAAGATTTGCATTTGTACCTTCCAAAAAGGATAATTTTGACCCGCAAAAAGTGGGGGTCTGTTGATAGACGCACCTTCGGCAAAAGTTTGATTTTGTCCGGCCATTTTCGAAAATTTGAATGACTATCAAAGCAAGCTCTGATACCACTTGTTAGAATCGCGCAGCGGAATGTTCGCGTGGTCGGACAAAAACCAAGAGGGGAGGTGAATTGGTTTCTTAATAAAAATTAGGTTTTCAAAATTTTCCCCAAATTTTACCGATTAAAAACTGTGTAAATGTAAATAGAGAAGAGAAGATAATCTTACACAGGAGATTTATACTGGTTCGGATCAAAAGACCCTACGTCCAGTTGCTAATCACTCAAAGAGAGGATTAACACTGTCACTATAATCAAGTTGTTACAAACAGATTACAATTGAAAAGATAAAGATAAGAAAACACCTCTCTTGAAATCCACAAGAGATGATGAACAGCTTTCCCTAGAGACGGCATAGCACACAATCCACTAAGAACTCCACTTAGTGATTCTTATCGCTTCTAGCCCACACCAGGTTCCAAAAGCCCCTTTTTCTTGCAACAAACAGTTCTTTGGCACTACAACACTTAACTTTTGTATGAAAAAGGTTGTTCTTCTTTTCTGAGTGTCATAGAGAAGCTTAAGTAGAGAAATTAGGGTTTGGGAATTGGGAATTTCGGAATTAGGGTTCTTCGGAAAAGGGTTTTCGAAAATAGGGTTGATTTGAAGTTAAAATTCGAAATCTGACTGAAATAATCGATTAAATCAAGAGTTAATTGATTATTACAAAGCCAAAATCAACAGAACCCTGAAACTCACTGTTTTAATCGATTAAAAGGGGTTTTAATCGATTAAACCAGTGAGCAAATACAGAAAATGGTTTTTCTCACTATTTTAATCGATTATTTCCCTATTTAATCGATTAAAGCCGAGCCTGGATGATAAATTTGAGCTTTTTGAAGCTTCTAAGGTGTAGACTATGTACCGGCTATCTTAAACACTAATATTACAGACTCAATCTAATTGAAACAGAGTTATTACAATACAAAACAAGTCTTCAACACTCTAAGTCTTTGTGTTCTTGAATCATCATCAAAATCAACAATCTTCATGTCCATCAAGTGCAACATCAAGTCCTTGAATGTTCAACAAATGATAGATAGACATATCGATAAAATCTCTAACTGTATTATGCATAACAAAGAAACAAATATATATAGATACCACTATTAAAAACGATATGAAATTTGACCCATATATTTAACTATTTCTAACATTAGTCATTCTAGGTCTAGAAGGAAGAACATTTTAATAAATTTAATACGTTAATTTTACTTAAACATACTTTAGTTAAAATGTACTATGATTTAATAAAATAAATTAAAATTTTAATCGATTAAAATTCTTTAGTGAGTTTAATGTATTAAAAACTCAAATTAACATTTAAAAATTTTGAACCTTTGGTTCTAAGGAAGTTATATAAATTAAAATATGATTTTAACCCATTCTCTTCGTGAAAAAAGTGAAATAAAGGAAAGGAAGCAACTGATTTTCATGTGAAATTCATTTAAAATATTAATTTAATGTTTTTTTGGTTAAATTTAGCTTATTTTATTATGTTTCTATAATTTAGATTTTCACTCTTTCTATTTATCTAAACAAATAGAGAGGTTTTCTTTCTATTATTTTAACACATTTTCCTAAATATTTTTGTTCTGTTTTTCACCTTGTTCCTGCCGCCCCTCCTATTTCTTACACTCATCCAAACAGAGTGGTTACAACTTGAAATAGCTGTACTTAATGGTAGGAATACAGGTTAATTGCATTATATGTTATACTGCAACCAAAATTCTTTTAACTGTTCTCTTGGCCGTAGCTAATAAAATACCACGTCAAGTTATTACAATTACAAGGTCACAATATAGTAGTAGTTCATCCCTTACAAATTAGTGTTCGCTTGACTAATATTATAAAATGCTATCAACATTTATTGTTCTTAACTAATTCAGATATTTTTTTTAAAATAATGTGAATTATTTCCAGAGGGAATACATACTTATACGTCCTATAATTTAAGTTATTTTAATATAAATAAATCTTCCAATGGTGAGTAACTCTGACTTCCTATAGATATTTTTCCTCTAATAATGACTATTAAAAATTTATGCCAGCTTGTACACAAACACTGTTCTTGTGCTAATAAAGCTACCGTAGCTAGTATCACAATAGGTAAGAGGGTGGTGCAGAGCATGAATGTGGTGAGATTGATTAACAATAATGAAGCTAAAGGTAAGTGTTACGAAAAGTGCCATGAAGAAGAACATGGAAGGAATATGACCACATTTGCATTAGCTTCTAACTTAAGTGCAGTTCTAACTTGTAGATAATGATAAATATCACCTCTTCAAAGAAGCCGACGAGAGAAATTGTCAGCAAGAACTTGCAACGTATGATATTCTATAAATTTAAAGCATAGAAAAAATATCCCAAGCTTACAAAATAGACAAAATGTTAACAGAATCTCCACATTAATGGCTCAGTAGCAAAGCAGTGGCGTATTGATCAGCTAGCATAGAGATTTAAAGGAATAAATGTTTGAAACTTAGGCCCCATCTGGCTGTATAAAGGGGTTGGCGATCTCATCTGTACCATCAGTTGGGGACACAAGCATGACAGCAGTTCCTCTACAAACCTGCATTGAAAATAAATTTAAGTCCCCGCGACCATGAAATTTTCGTTGCTAAGCCCGAATAATTCAAACTGTAAAACGAAATTGACAGAACAATTAAAAATAACTAGTGGTACTGTAGAAGTGCTAATAGTCATGTGAACTTTCAACTTGTTTTTCCTTGCACGAAATGCTTTCAAGTTGTGATAAGTTTATAGAAAGTAAAATGTAATGAGTACTATCAACTGAGAAATCAGGGAGCAAAATAACAGAATACTCACGAAAAAAAAAAAAAAAAAAAAAAGAGAATATGACCGTGATAGGTAATTATCCACTGGCAAATAGATTATGATCAAAATGTATAAAGATCTGTTTGTATTATTTGAATATAGGAGATGAAACATTTATTGTGGCAAAGGAATTGAAAGAACCCACCCTCAGCCTATTCCCATATTTTTTTCTCCGCCTTTCTCACGTACTTGACTCAATAAGTACCTTCTCTCTCTCTCTCTCCTCAAGGCATACCCCCTCCCGTATAGGTCTTCTAGAATATACTTTGACAAATCTATTGAGCCCCTTCACAACCTTCTCACTCATATTTGCATAATACCCTCCCCTGCAAGACTCCCCCTTGTCCTCAAGGTGCAAAACAGGAAATACAGCTTTAATTTCCTCCAATAGTTCTCAGGAATTGTTACAATTAGGAAGATGTTTCCATTTCAACGATATTTGCAGTTTTCCTCTTTCATTTTGCTTCATGGGCAGTACTTCTCCAGGAGTAACTTTCAGCTCCCAATCATCATCTAAGAAAGGGGGTAGGGGTTGTACATTGGTGACAGCCGCTGCAGTTTTTTTTCAAAAGGGAGACATGAATCCAGGATGAACTTTGCTCTCTTTTGGTAGTTTCAATTTGTAAGCTGCAAGCCCTATTCTTTCTCTAACCTCAAATGGCTCATAAAATCTTGGGCTCACTGATTAACTCTCTTGGCAAATTGTTTCAGCTTATATGGTTGTATCTTTAGAAAAACCAGCTCTCCTGCTTGAAATTCCACATCTCTTCTATGCTGATTTGCTTGTTATCTCCTCTTTTATGCTTTAGCCAAATGTTCTTTGAGGTCCTCCAAAATTTGATTCCTCTCTGCCGTCATCTGCTGGATCTCATCTACCCTAATGATTACAAGTGCCTTTTTTCCATATAAGGCCTCAAAGGGAGTCATCTGTTGGATCTTGTTGAATATAGAGAAAATAGGGTTTGGAATTAATTTCCCTTGTGTATAAATCACACATAGGGTGATCTATTTATAGTAGAAAGATACAACTAAAAGAGTAACTGAAAGTAATGGAATAAACAGAAGATATTGTTTGATATTGTGGTTACCAATATCTAACAATATCTTAACAATATCAAATAATATCTAAACAATATTTAACACTCTCCCTCAAGCTGGAGCATACAAATCGTATGTACCAAGCTTGTTACAAATATAATCAATTCTAGAACTCCGTAAAGATTTAGTAAAAATATCTGTTAACTGATCACTTGAGTTAACAAACTCAGTCTTGATATCTCCAGACATAATCTTTTCTCGAATAAAATGACAGTCAATCTCAATGTGTTTGGTCCTCTCATGAAAGACGAGGATTAGAACTAATATGAAGAGCAGCCTCGATTGTCACACACAAGTGTCATTTGAGTGACATCTTCAAATTGTAACTCTCTCAGCAATTGCTTGAGTCAAACAAGTTCACAGGAACTGAGGTCATAGCTCTATATTCTGCTTCTGCACTGGATCTTGTCACAACACTTTGTTTCTTACTTTTCCATGAGATCAAGTTATCACCAATGGAGACACAACATCCAGATGTAGATCTTCTATCCGAAGGAGATCCTGCCCAATTAGCATCTGAGTAGCAAACAACTCTTGTATGGTTATTAGAACCATATAACAATCCTTTTTCAGGAGATTCTTTAATATACTTCAAAATACGAATAACTGCATTCCAATGATCTTCACATAGTGAATTAAGAAATTGACTTACCACACTGACTGCAAAGAAAATGGCAAGAAGAGTAACTGTAAGATAATTCAATTTTTCAACCAATCTTCTATACTGCTCAGATCAGATATAGGCTCCCCCTGATTTGGTAGAAGTTTAGTATTGGGATCCATGGGTGTATCAACAGACTTTGAACTCATCAACCCAGTTTCCTCCAAAATATCTATGACATATTTCCTCTGAGATATAACAATATTATCATTGGACTGTGCTACCTCAATACCTAAGAAATATCTAAGTTTGTCAAGATCTTTGATCTAAAAATGGTGATAGAGATGTTGTTTCAACTGAGAGATGTCATGGTTGTCATTACCTGTAAGAACGATGTCATCAACATATACTATCAAGTAAACACATCCAGCACTCAAGTGTCGATAAAAGACAGAATGATCTGATTCACACCGAGTCATACCAAATTGTTGAACAACCTTGCTAAACTTTCCAAACCAAGTCCTAGGAGACTGTTTTAGGCCATATAGGGATTTGCGAAGACGACATACCATCCCAGAAGACTCCCCCTGAGCAACAAACTCAGGAGGTTGTTCCATATATATTTCTTCTTGCAAATCACCATTGAGGAGAACATTTTTAACATCGAGTTGATAAAGAGGCCATTGTTGAAAAGCAGCCATGGCGATAAATAAACGAACAAAAGTCATCTTTGCCACAGGGGAAAAGGTATCTCCATAATCCAACCCAAAAATTTGAGTATAACCTTTGGTCATAAGACAAGCTTTGAGACGATCAATAGTACCATCAGGTCCAACTTTGATAGCAAACACCCACCTGCAACCAACAACAGATTTCCCAGACAGTAACGGGACCAATTCCCAAGTTCCACTATTATGAAGAGCACTTAGTTCATCTAACATGGCCTGACGCCAACCAGGATGAGCTAAAGCTTCACGGATAGTTTTTGGAATGGTCACAGAAGAAATAGAGGAAAGACATGTATAAAAAGGTAATGACAGTCGATGATAACTCAAAGCAATATAATGGGGAGAGGGATTACGTGTAGAACGAATACATTTTCGGAGGGCAATGGGAAGGTCAGACTCATGTGTCAGATCCGGAGGAGACAGAGTAGTTGGCACTTGAGTAGAGTCACATGGTGGTGGTTGTGATTGGTTTCGAGAACTATAAATCTAAAGAGGCAGTGGAGAAGAAACTGACTGCGAAGCAGGAACTAATGGTGAAGAAGACACAGTTAGAGGGTCACAAACAGAAACATTAAATGTATTAGGAGTATTGACAAGATTAGATGAAAACAGAGGTGAAGATTGACTTTTAAAATAAAAAGACAACTCATCAAAAGTGACATCTTTTGACACAAAATAACGGTTAAGAGAAGGAGAAAAACATTTGTATCCTTTTTATGATTTTGTAAACCCTAAGAAAACACATTTATGTGATCTAGGAGAAAGCTTGTCAAGACCAGAACTGAAATTATGAACAAAACATGTAGACCCGAGAACTTTCAGAGGTAAAGAATGAAGTGGTTCATGAGGGAATAAAATGGAATGAGGTATTTTATTATCTAAAACCGAAAAAGGAATGCGATTAATGAGATAACATGCAGTAAGAAAAGCATCACCCCAAAAATGTTGAGGAACATCTCCATGAATTAAAAGTGTGCGAGTTGTTTCAATAGATGTCTATTTTTACGTTCAGCTACACCATTTTGTTGAAGTGTATAAGCACAAGAAGTTTGATGCAAAATACTGTGAGAAGCCATGAATTGTTTAAAAGAATGAGAAAGATATTCATGGCCATTATCACTACGCAAAACTCTAATAGAAACACCGAACTGAGTTTGAATTTCATTAAAAAAAGTTTGAAAGATATGAAATAATTCAAAACTATTTTTCATCAAAAATAACCAAGTGCATCTGGAATAATCATCAATGAAAGTAACAAAGTATTGAAAATCTAAAGTAGACTTAACGCGACTAGGTCCCCAAATGTCAAAGTGAACCACGGCAAAAGGGGACGAAGCACCACGTGTGAAACTACGAGGAAAAGAAGTACGACTATGCTTGCCTAATTGACATGACTCACATGCCAAACTAGATAAATTGGACAAGACAAGGACAAGTTTCTGTAACTTGGCAAGACTTGGATGACCTAACTGAGCATAAAGAAGAGAGGGAGACTCCATAACTGTACTAATATGTGTAGAGGGACGGAAATAATAAAGACCATGAGACTCACATCCTGTGCCAATCACCTGTTTCGAACTCCGATCTTGTAAACACACAGAATTGTTGGTAAAAGTTACAACACAATCAAGAGAACGAGTTAGACGACTGATGGACAACAGGTTAAAAGGAGACCCAGGGACATAAATAACATTATCAATGGTTAAAGAAGGAAAAAGTTTAACCGTTCCAACACCATGAGATGATACTCTAAAGCCATCAGCCAGTGTAACAGAAGGTAAATGATTAGGAGAGAATAAAGAGAAGAACAAAGATTTATTACCAGTAATATGATCAGTGACTCCCGAATCAAAAACCCAAGGACCAGGAGAAAATGATTGGGTCAGACCAGCAAAATATGTATTTGTATGTGTGACAGATATAGTGGAACTAGAAGACTGTTGATCCTTATACCATTCAAGAAATTTGTTGAACATAACAGGCATGTCGGATGCAATAGAAGAAGGAAGATCCCCTGCAGATAAAGGTGGGAAAAGATTGGTCTGAACAACTACAGCAGATTGAGGAGGACAACCATGTAATGTATAACACTTGTTAATCTTGTGACCTAGCTTGCCACAATGTTCACACTTAGGACGCCCTTTTTTCTGTTTGCGAGGACGAGCCCGGTCATTACGATGGGATGTCAACACAAAATAATCGTTAACAAAATTGGAAATAGTGGAAGAAGTGGAAGAAGTCATGAAGAGCGGGAGAACAAACCTTAAAACAATCCAAAGTAATTCAATTAACCCACGAAGCACAAATCCAAAATGAGAATACTAAAAATAAGTTCGCCAAGACTAAACGGCGCAGGAGACAATGGGACGACCAACTCCGATAGTGGTGATCTCAATGGCACGGTGGTCACCTGACCGAGACAAGCAAAATCATGTCACCGGTCAAAAAAAAAATGAAACTCCGACGAATTCTCCAGCAGGGGCGGATCCGGTGACTGCTCCAGCGGCAGTGGTGACAACAACTTGAACTAGTACACCAGGTAAGTTCCCAGGAAAGAGAGATGGGTCACTAATGGACACACTTAAATACCAAGTCTTTCCTTGCCAGAACTTTCCTAAACATGCACTTTCACACTACCAAATAAAATTCAGTAACAAAGATAATTCTTTTCTGATGTGGAGGATCAGTTTATCAGCAGCGGTGGGGCGGTTCTAGTAGTGGTGGGGCGGCTCCAACAGTGGACAAAAGGTGGAAAAAAAAAATTCAAGATAACCTTAAGCTCTAGATACCATGTTGAATATAGAGAAAATAGGGTTTGGAATTAATTTCTCTTGCGTATAAATTACACATAGGGTGGTCTATTTATAATAGAGAGATACAACTAAAAGAGTAACTGAAAGTAACAGAATAAACAGAAAATATTGTTTGATATTGTGGTTACCAATATCTAACAATATCTTAACAATATCAAATAATATCTAAACAATATTTAACATATCTCATCTACCCTAATGATTACAAGTGCCTTTTTTCTATATAAGGCCTCAAAGGAAGTCATCTTGATCGAGGAATGATAATTAGACTTATACCAAAATTTTGCCCAACTTAGCCATTTAGGCCAGTGCTTGGGCTTGTTCCCTATCACACACCACAAGTAGGTTTCAAAACATATATTCACCACTTCACTTTGGCCATCTTTTTGTGGGTGGTAAACTGAGCTATATTTCAACTTGGTTCTTGCCAATTTAAAAAGTTCACTCCAAAATGAACTAATAAAAATACGATATCTATCCGAGACAATGAATTGTGAAAATCCATGTAAATTCACTACATTCGTCATGAACAAATCAGCCACTCTTTGGTTGTATAAGGACGAGCCAAGACCATAAAATGGGCATACTTGGTGAGTCTATCAACCACCACTAAAATTGTATCTACACCCATACTCCTCGATAACCCTCCACTAAAGTCCATTGATACATCACTCCAAACTTGTGTTGGAATAGGGAGAGGCTGTAACAACCTTCCAAGATTCAAGGCTTGATATTTATTTCTTTGACATACATCACAAGTTTGAGCGTATTGCTGAATTTTCTGTCTCATTCCTTCCCAAAACACCACCCCATAAATTCTCCTAAAAGTTCTGAAAAAAATCTGAATTTCCTCCAAAGGCTGAATCATGGAATTCATGTAGTATCCCATTAATTCTAGGAGAATTCTTGGGACGGACCTATCTTCCCTTGTACGTTAGCTTCCCTTGTTTCAATTCATACCCTGGGAAACTCTCTATTTGGCTCCATAACCCTTGTACAATTTTGCTCAATTGTGCATCAACCATTACCTCATCTTCCAACCCTTCCCATTGTTGAGTCTCCAGTGTGGATAGTGCAGTATATTAAAATTTTCTGGACAGGACATCACCAAATCTGTTTTCAGGCCTATGCTTATATTTCACTTCAAAATCATAATCCATCAATTTGGAAATCCATTTTTGTTGCTCTTCTCCCATTAGACGTTGGTCTAGCATAATAGACTTTTTTTATTAGTGTGTACCATGAAATGCCTACCTAGCAAATAATGTCTCCACTTTTGGACAACCATTACAATATCCATTAATTCCCTCTCATACATTGATTCACGCTAATCCCCATCTGATGTTGTATGACTCATAAGCTACTGGTTTCCCCTCTTTCATCAGCACTGCTCCAATTCCGTTGCTTGAAGCATCAGTCTCCAAAATGAAGTTTTTCCCAAAACCAGGGATAGCAAGAACAAGCAGTGTAGTCATGGCCTGTTTGAGGAATTCAAAAGTCATGTCCTTAAGCTGTTGAGTTAAGAGCCAAGCCATTTTCCCATAATTCTTCACGAACCTCCTGTAATATCCGGTCAAACCCAAGAATCCCCTTAACCTCTTTATGTCTTTTGGAGTTGGCCAATTCACCATAGCACTAATTTTGTTAGGATTCGTGACTACCCCTGATATGAACCTCCTCCAAGTCTTTCAACTGGATCCTTGTCCTTGCTCATGGTCATATCCCCATCAACCCCTTCATTAGAAAATATATGGTCCAAATATTCAAGTATTTCTTAAGCAAATAAACATTTCTTGTAGTTAACCCCCAGCTAGTTCTCTCTTAAAATCTCAAAAACCACTTGTTGGTGTTTCAAATGAGCCTCCATATAATTGTTGTATGTCAAGATTTCATCAAAAAACACCAACAAAAACCTCCCAAGATAAAGTTTCAAAATTTGGTTCATCAAAGCTTGAAAGGTGTTGGGCGCATTAGTTAAGCCAAATGACATAACCAAGTACTCATAATGTCTTTCATGCGTTCGAAAAGCAATCCTGGGAATGTTTGCCTCATTCATCCTAATCCAATGATACCCATACTTTAAATCTAACTTACAAAACACAACAACAGTCCATAATTCATCCAGCAGCTCATCTATTATGGGAATAGGGAATTTGTTTGGAATTGTGTGTTTGTTTAAGGTTTTATAATAAACATAGAACCTCCATCCCCCGTCCTTTTTCCTCACTAATATCACAGGATTAGAATAAGGGCTGATACATGGCCTAATAATCCCAACTTTTAACATTTCATCCACTATTTTTTCTATTTCATTTTTTTGATAATGGGGGGTATCTATAGGGTCAAATATTAGGTATGGGGGCTCCTTCTTTGAGAGAAATAAAATGATCATGCAAACACATAAGGGGTAAACCAGTTCGTTCTAGAAACACATCCGAAAATGTTATTAATAGTCAATTTACCTCATTGTTTTCAGCTACCGGACTACTCACAGGGCCCTCCATAGATTGACTAGACCATATAACCTTCTCCCACTTCCTGCTTTAATCATAGCTTTCCACAAAATTTGGTTACAGCAAAGAGAGGGGTCTCCTTTTATTACCAATTTTTTTCCTCCTTGTTTCCATTTAAGAGTTAAATGCCTAAAATGGTCTTTGACATTCCCCAAACTGAACAACCATTCCATCCCTAATACTACCTTAAAAACCTCCTAAGGTCGTCAAAAAAAATATTCGTTCCAACTCGATGCCTTGGACCTACAACTTCAATGCCTGGCAATGCCCTTTGTGCACCACTTAATCCTTATTTCCTACCTCCGCAGTGTACTTCTGAGTTGTAGATAGTTCCAATCCTAGTTCCTCTACTAATTTGGAAGATATGGAATTAGCATATGCTCCTGAGTCTATCAAACTCGAAATTAACATTGATCGTTGTTTTAGTTGCCCCATACTTTGAAAGAATTATAAGTGAGGCCTTGAGTATTTTTCAAGGATAGTTGTAGCACTTTCACCTTTTGCTTCATTTCCTCTTCTACTTTTTCCTCCCCTTCTACTAAATCTAGTGTAAAATGCTTATGTCTACAAACATGATCATGGTCGCACCTTTCTCCACACTTAGAAGCATAACCCCTTCTTGCTTAATTCCCTTAACTCCTCGTGCATTAATCTTTTCCCCAATTCTAGTTTCTTACTATCCACACACCCTACATTGGATCTATTCTCAATTTGGGCCTCCACATGGGCCTAGCTAATAGTGTCATGCTTCATTGAAATTTTTTATGTGAGTTTGTATAGTAGTTTAAAAATCAAGTTAAGATGATATTTATTTTGTATTTGTGAGAAAAAAATTAAGTTATTTATTAGAGTTCCAGTCCAAGCTCATAGGAGAGGCATATTACATACCCTTGCAAAACATAAGCAATATTTTTCATTTTCTAACATTTAAATATTTGTCATTGTCTTCTCCCTTGATCCCTTAGTAGATTCTAATTGTAACCTAAACAATATGAAGTCTAACAAGGGCATCTCATCTAACTTCATTAGAAGAGGATGGGAATTAAAAGCCTTTCTAAATGTAGTTTTCTATGAAGAAAGGAGTTGTTATATAGTAAAGCAATTGACATTTTTTGCCATGTTGATTGTTTATTGAGAGTGAAAAGCTGTATTTTACACTTTTATAATAATTTTTTTTTTTTTAAATGTATAGGCTCATTATTTAAATTTTTTAAAATCTGGAATGTGCAATGCATTTAGTAGAATTTCTTTAAAGGGAAGTTGGTGACAAATGAGTGGGGAGAGAGGATGAACAAGTGGAAGGTGGGGTTCAGTGGTTGGGGAAGTGACCAATGAAGGAGTAAGACTTATGTGACAAAGCCCAAAAACCAAGCTAACACACTGGCACCAGCATAATGTTGCTATGAAAAAGAAAAGATGGAGCTTTAGGTGTGAATAGTTAATTACCCATCCCATATCTCATTATGAATAAAGATTTGGCAAAGCATTGGTTCGAAATTTTAGTTTTTATTCAAAGTATGAGTCCTTGCCTAAAATAAAGGTTTAGATTTCAGGGTAAATGTGAAACGCAGATATAATGATTTACTATTTTCACATGTTCATTTTCTAACCTTTTATAAGCTCAAATTAATTTAATTTGAATAAGTTTATATCTATAACATATTATCGGCCCCTTTTCTCTATCGATCTAAAAGCTTTTGGTTGAGGAAATTCCTCAGGTGTCATATAAATTTGTTCATACATTCATGCATGTTCTGTAAATTCTCAACATGGATCATAGCAAGCTTTTGTGAGGCAGAAAGTCCAATTTTGACACATTTGATATTGCAGAAGAACACTTACAATTAAGCCAAGTTGTCTGGTCTGATCGGTAGTTTTGAGAGGATCATCAGGATCTGAATAACAAGGGATAAATACAATCTTCATTTTAAAACAAGAAATTAAAAGACAGATAATTTTCAAGAAAACTGAATCCTAATGCTTATAGTAGAGTAGCACAAGCATAATGTTGATAGTAGAGTCATACAAGCATATGAACTATGAAAACTAAATCATTTCTTGTGACACATAATCATAAAATTAGAAGTATAATTGCATTGACATGTGATATACATCTGAGAGTATAAGAATTTGGCTCTGCAATGTAATTAAAAAAATCTGAATGGAAATTCCATAGCTGAAACAAAAATAAGTATAATGATGCAGACATCAATCACCAACTTCCTAGGTTTTAAAACAGTCGGTGACTGAGATTTTAGCTGCAACGTCAAAGTTTTTGCAGTCACTGGCGCCACAACCACATAATGATCACAACTGCATTTATCCTCAATTTCCCACAACAACAAAAATCAAAACAAATCAACATCCCATCTAATGAAAACCCTTGTCACTCATTCAATCTTTCAGCGAAAGTCTTTATGTATTTTTAAATGATTTGCAAAGACCCATATAGGGATTTTGTAAAGACAGAATAATCAAGCATCACCACAACAAATCAATAATAATTAACAGGTTGCACCAATATTTTCTGAAATGGTTGTGCATATATGAAGTCACAAACATCATAACAAAGAAACGGATGCATACAGCTACTGGAGTAAATATGTTGCGTAATAGATAATAGAAAAGCAAGAACCTGCCAGTATTTAGTTACCTCTTAAAAACTCTACAGCTTCATCAAGGACTAGGTTAAGTAACTGATCATACCCTTTCAGAGTCCCTGTGACTGCAATCCAACAAAATAAAATATAAACAAAAAATATCGCTTGTAATCATAAAAGATAACTCTTAATTGAATACTTCTAATTTAAAACCAAATGCAATTCGCTCATTTTAGACAACCAGTAAATAAATCACTAACAATTTCAAATAAAATAACCCGTGTCATAATATATATATATATATATATATATATATATGAAAGAAGGGAATTGAGTAACCTAACCTTGTCTGCCACCAGTAAGCTTAACTTGAACGCCTTTGTCTACGAACTTCGCAAGGTCTAGAACGGTTTCTTTTCTGCCCGACTGTTCAAATTAAAGAAAAAACAAATAGAGTTGAATGACAGAGCAAAAAGAGTATTCAAACCAACACATAAAAGAATTGGAAGAAAAGGGAACCCTAAAAGAAGATAGGGAGATGAAACAGTTATGAAATTAAAGATGTGATTAGGGTTTTCTGAAACTCACCATGATTAATTCACTTAATGTAACCGAAAGAGAAGAGTAAGACCTAACAGTAGAGAGTGAATTTGAATATATATTGAGAGCAGGGAACTTCGAAGTGTAATGTGCGAGGAATACATGCGAGTCCAATATATATTGTTGGATGACAGAAACAATTTGGAATATTTTAAGTGTAATGTTTTTCTTTTATTTAATAAATTTTAACCCTCACTTAATTTTATCGCTAAAAGGTCGGAAGGAGGATAGAAAAATTTTAATATTTTAATTTAAGATAAAAATAGTTTTATAAAATTTGATTTTCTTTATATTTATTTTCAATTAAATAAAATAAATATATTCCTGTGTATCATTTTGCATGTTCAGGTCAACCTTTTTTTGACATTTGTTCCATCTTCAATTGAAATTTCATCATCTCGTATTCAAAAGTTGTAAATGCATCTTACTCTTTCTAATTTGAAAAATATGAAATATTCGTTCAACATGATAGACTCAATTGGCAAGAAATTGGATCATGAAGAAGGGTTTTAGGAAACAAAATGATAGTAATTCTTATTACATTTCTTAGTTATTTACTTATTATTCCTTACATTAAATATTTTTCAACAATTTTTTTTATGCTTATGTTCTCTTATATTTTATCATATGATATTTATTTTGTTTTTTATTATTTTTAAAATCAGATCAGTTTATCACTAGACTATAAATTGGTTTGTTGCTGCTAAATAATTAAATTAGAACTAAACATGTAAAATCAACAACATCGTTAGATTTTTGGGTTGAGTCGATTTTAATAAAAATAATTAAAATCAATTTTTTAATATAACCGATGTAGATATAAAGGTCTCTTCTCCCATCCTCTCTCTTTTATATTATATTATATTTTTATTATTTATATTTTTTAGAAATTTGAATTATTATCAGATTAAGAGAATTGTCATCTGCAAGATTCGAACCCAGTACCTTAGAGTCGAAGTCGATACTCCAACCACTAAGCTACTAGGATTTTCCGATAATAACTTATACATAAATTATATTTATATACAAATAAAAATGTATATCATCGTAAATATATAAATACAAAAGCAAATATATTTATATATTTATATGTTGGATGTGAGGACGCGCTCGAGGATGAAAGTGTGTCGAGTGAATTTTCAAAATTTGATGTCAAATTTGTGAGCGGGTATCTTTATATGGATTATAACTTAATGACAAAATATAATCTTTATAATTTATTTATATAATGATATAAAATAAATTTTTTTCTTTATTTTATATCATTATATAAATTAATTATAAAGATTATATTCTATATTATTATAAATAAATTATAAAGATTATATTCTATCATTAAATTACAAATTCATATAAAGAGACTTGCTCACAAATTTGACATAAAATTTTGAAAACCCACTCACAATTTCACTCTCGAGCGCTCTCACATCTAACATATAAATATATAAATATATTTGTATTTGTATTTATATATTTTATATTTATATATTTTATATTTATATATTTACATGGATATACATTTTTATTTGTATATAAATATAATTTATTTATAAGTTATTATCGGAAAATCCTAGTAGTTTAGTGGTTAGAGTATTAGTCTTTAATTCTAAGGTACTTGGTTCGAATCTTGCCAGTAACGATTCTCTTAATTTTATAAAAAGACTTTCTACATCGGTTCATCTGAGAACCGATGTTGAAAGTCTTGAATTCACTTTCTACATCGGTTCTTAAAGAACCGATGTGGAAAGACCGATGTTAAAAGTGATTTCTGTACTAGTGAATCTTTTTATAAAAATATAATATATTTTAGTTTTTTATTCTAATTAGTTTTGTAAATATTAAATAATCATTATTTTATTATATTTTTATCATATTTTAACAATTATCGATCATGCATTCTCTAATATATATTTTATCCATCTTCCATTCTCTACCCCCATTTTAGAAAATGTTAGGATTTACCATAGCATATTTTCATTTACCTCAACCAATGGTAAGATTAATTCTTTGATAAATGATAGATTTGATCATCATCAATTCATTCTTAATGATCAAAATTACCACTCTGTTGAAAGTTTTTATAAGAGAATTGATGCATTCCCAAGTTTGCATAACTTTTTAACATATATGACACTCAAAATGAAATAACAAATTTCAACGACGACCTATCCCTCTTCGCTTGTGTCAATTTCTTCATCTCTTTATCCCCAAGCAAATTCGAACCTCAACCTAGCTTGAAGGTCGACGAACTGGAGGTCCAAACCTAACTCCGGCGGCATCGAACCCCAATCTCAAGGCAAACCCAAATCCAACTTCGACGACCTCGAACCATAACTCAACCCCAGTGACCTCGAACCCTAGCTCAACCCCCAGTGACCTCGACCTAACCCCAACCCTAACCCAAACCTCGACGGTCTTGAATCCAAGTGGTCTGAAACTGTGGCGACATCAAACCCTAACCTAAGCCTCGGTGAGCTCAAATCCTAACCCTGACAAACTTGAATCCTAACCCGGTGACCTCAAATCCCATCTCAAAACTTCACGACCTGTAATCTGAACAGAGGACATCTGACCATATGCTTACATTTGTGTCTTATCGACTCTCTCCTTGTGCTGGAAATGGTTAGACTTTTACAAGATCTTTGTTTAAATTTATATCAGTGTGTTTGGATTGACTCATTTTATGACTGGTCTTTGTTCTACTGCATTAATCAAGTTTGTTTCAAATGAATTAATCAAGTTGATTTTTAAATTTCCGAAACTTTGGTCTTTAATTGGGCTAAATAAGGTAAGGCTTTGTTTTTTTTGTTTGTATTTTTTTTAAAAATTACAACATAAATGAATGAAGTTTTTTTCATACATAAGACAAGAATATGACTAACTACTGCTGTTGGATGCTTTTGTTTGTAGTTTTCTGTTGATGAGTTTATTCAGATTATAACATGTCACCGCCGTCAAAACGAGGCGGTTGGAGCGACGCGATGGTTCTGACTTTCCAATTTTTGCTTTTTTATTGGTGTGGTTACAACGCCTTTAGGTTGTCCGATAACCAGGCTAACCCAAGAACTAATTTTGGAGGGTTCTTCTGGAGTCGCCACCGATGTTTTTACCGGAAACATCGGAAAAGGAGTAAAAATGCGTTGGTTTTTCGAAAAACCAACTTTGGTCATTAGAACCAGAGTTGGGTAAGGGAGTTAGTTACGCGTAAGGGAAGTGTTAGTTCCCTTACGACGCCCCTTTCGGGTTCCCTATGATAGGCCAGCTACTTTAAATAAATAAACCAGTGAAAATATGCTTTTACCCTTTATTTGCGGAATTTAAAATTATGACTACATGACCCTAATATCTATTGCATAATTAAAAATAAAGCGGTAAAGGAGAGAGAGAGAGAGACTATAGAAACCTCCGAGGCAAGCTTTCTATTAATTTCTTGAAAACTAGGGTGCTTTTTGGCAGCCCTTCACTCTTTACAGCGCCAGAATCTCTCAAAAACGCTATAAAAAACTCTAAAAAGCTCTCAGAAACTCCGGAAATGCTTCGGAGGGATTCTAGAAAGAGAATTTGAGGAGGTGACTAGAGAGAGAATGGAAGAACACTGTGAAATGAGGGGAATGGCACGACTATTTATAAGGATTCGCGCCTGTCAGGTCGAGACGGCCGTCTCGTCTGACAAGGTCAAGACGGCCGTCTCACCAAACGAGACGGCGGTCTCGCCACTTTCGCAAGGCGAGACGGCGATCCCGAATACGAGATGGCGGTCTCGACCCTAAAAGGCGAAAATCCTTATTTACATGCCAAAAATCCCTCCTATCTTAGTATGGGGCCTAATAGTCTCTCCCAGTGGCTTCTTAGGCTTCATCCATCTTCGAATAGAAGGTCTTCTGGTCTTTATTATGAGGCCGGAAAGATTTGGAGTCTACATAACAAAACATTCATTGGCTTCTTACTCATCCATTCATTTGCAAACCCTTGCTCTATTCTAGTTTTGTGTAGATACTGATTCCAAAATTATTGTGTCTGTCAATTGCCCTATTGAAGCATGATTTTTAAGTTGTTTCCCTTTAACAGTTGAAAATATCTAGTTATGACGACATAGGATTTTCAATTTTCAAACTGATAATCTTGGACAAAAGGTTAACAGTTTCATTGGAGCAGTCAAACTTCTTTAATATTGGTAAATTGAAAACATGTGCTGCAAGTGGTACAAACTCTTATCTATTTAAGAAGGAGGGCAGGACAACAATAGAGTTTTTTTTTTTGGTATTTTTTTGGTTTGTATAGTACTATAAAAGTTATTCATTAACTTGTTGGCATTAACATTTATCTATGATATGATTGTCAATTGTGTCTGTTTACTTCTAATTTGGTTTTGTGGTATGATAGAGTTAAAAAGGGAGATCAATCTCGTGTTGGTACAAATTGAACTTAGAAACAAATTGAACTTATATGATGCAGAGTGTTTGCTAAATGGAAGCTTATATAGATTGGAATAACCAAAGGTATAAGCTTTTAGAATAGAAAAAAATATTGGAACTTGAACAATTATGTGAGGAATAAATAGGCATCGATCATGTATTATTAGAAAAAAGAGAGGATATATAATATATGCTTTAACAGCTTTTGAGCAATACAATGGTTTTTGGAAAAGATAAGGCTAATGGGTGTGTAAGACTATATTTTTGCAAGCGGGGAGCATACAAATTTTGAATCTCAGCTGATTGAATATTTTATTATCTTTTTTTATTCTTTATTATACATGCTCTGAACTTGTAATTTGATTTTTTATGCTTGAATGATTGGATATTTCTGCTTGGATAGTACGATGATTACTGCTACAAACAACATTTATAACGCAAGGTCTTGTATGATTACAACTACTAACAACTTAAATTCATAGCTTCAATTTATTTGTAGTTTATATAAGATGGAGGTTAGCAAGGTCTTAGCTTCCTTCTTTTTGGGTACATTATTGCAGTTGTTTTTATTTATTT